TCTCAATATACCCTTAATCATACAGAATTCCATGGTACACATTGTTGAATGATGTATAATAAAAGATTAATAACCTTTAATTCCATATTTATCAAAAGGTCATAAAAAATAATAATAATAATAATAATAATAACCCTTCATTTTTTAATTCTGTATCTCCACAAAAATCGGTCGCACACATGCACCAAACCCATTGATTCAACAATTGTCAGGTTCCAATTAGGAGCAGGCATTAAAAAGTGTCGGGTATAAAGTTGAAGAAAATGAAAAAATGAAAAAGCTATTATGATTTCTTTTCTTGTGCTCCGGAATAGAACCATCACCTTCAAACTACCAATGCAGCTCCCATCAGCACAAGTTCTTAAACAAGTCTTCAAATGCAATAAATATCCATGTATAGCAAAACGATTAGTACAGACCAAAGCAAACTATTCTGCACAAGCACATGTGTATCCTGATTGCACAGTACCATGCAAATGGTAACGCTAGTCCTACTTAAAAACCGACACTATATAAAGCAGCATTCTTTAACTCAGTTCCTCCTCCAAGTCACACCATAGTATCACCAAATGAGTCTGGTCTTTATAGAGAGGCCATAAACATTCGCAATTTCAAATTGTTACACTTACCTAAGAATAAAGTAGAATGACTAAAGGTACAGAAATTAGTGATGCCCAATTGCTGCTTACTGTAATTGTGTACTACAACCTTAAAGAATAGATACATCCATCTCCATGCTATGCATAATTCAATCACTGTCTTCATCATCATCTGCAAGAAACGAGTGAAAGTTAGATAAAGATCAAGGACCCATGTCAGGTATCTATTTTGCTGTGCAAGACAATCAGAATTGAATCACAACGCACAACTTGCCTGTAATAGCTTTTCGTGCCAAATTCAAAGGGGCTAAAACATAATACTAGCTTAAAAGGAATTACAACTAGGGGGAGACATGTACATATGAATTGTATATATGGTGGTCAAACCTCAACTCATCAATTTTGTTTTTTCTTACCTTCATTGAATTCATCACTTTCATCTTCTTCTTCCTCCTCCTCGTCATCTTCCTCATCATCATCATCATTATCAACATCTTCCACCTCATCATCCTCTTCGTGATCCTTCTCCTTTGTCTCCTCCTCCTCCTCCTCAGCCTTATTCTTCTCTTCCTTCTTATCCTCCTGTTCATTGTCATCCTTATTATCTTTATCCACTTTTTCTTTCTTCTTAGTATCTTTTGGATCAACCTTTTCTTTTTTAGCATGAGTTGCAGATGCCACAGGAGGCGTGAAACTAAAAGTTGACCTTCTTCGTGAGCTGGATATAATGTTGCTCATGTCAATGCCTTCAAGTTCTTTGGCTCTGTCCTTTCTCTTTTTACAATCCTTGATTTCTGTAAGCATCAAATTAATGGAATCAGTCAGCGCCCAAACAAGATATAGCTAAGACTTTACTTGCATAGTCAACAATACAGAGCCACAGGAAGCTGACAAGCCATATAGTTAACAAAATTCGCTTTCAAGGTCTTTGAGAAAACAAACTTTGTAGACTAGAAGATTAGCACTTCACCCGAAGGAGGTATTAGTTATCCAAAATCCATCATATACATGGTTTTCGAGAAAATGTATGTTCACACTCACAATTCAGTAGGCAGGCCATACACTAAATAGAAACTAGGCTCCCCTACTACTATAGGGTAATTAACTTCTTTACTTTCCATGTTGATTTGCATTCATGTAATTCCAAACAATATTTCCAATTATTTCATGACGTTGAAAATATCTACAGCATATGACCTCCCATTTGGGGATAAGGACCACATATTTTTTCGTATTAGACCGCGTTGGAAGAGAGGTGATAAACTGTACCTTTCTCAGTAGGATTCTTGGATAACCCTTCTCTCGTGAGGATACCTTCTAATTCCTTCACTATAAAGCCTTCACGTTCTTCCTCTGGTACTTGTTTAGCTTTCTTGTAGACTGACGGAGCAACACTGCCCAGTAAGACAAAATTAGAAGGAAAAAAGTAATAACCATCAAGTTAGGGGCCACGAAAAGGCCAAGCATCTTAACAAACCTCATTCCACACGCCTTGATTATTGACTTCAGATTCTCCACCTTTTCGCCATATCCAGAAGCTGCCTTTTCTTTCCTCTGCTAGTCAAAGTGCTATATTTTAAGTATAAATCCGCAAAGGAATCCTTTGAGACCACATACTACAGAAGATATATATAAGGTAGACGATTTGAAGTGACCAACCTGTACTGATTTTTCCACGGATGATCGAGATTGACCGTCTTCAGACAGGCTTCCATCCTCATCGCTATTATTTTCTTCTTCAGTTTCCCTCTTTGCAACCTTGTTCTGCTTTTTGTTAGAGACTCTAAGATCACTCTCCTTAGATAATTTCCGTTTCTTCGACTGTTCCACTTTCTTAGTTTTTCCTTTAAAATCAGTTTCCTTTTTCGGCCGTGCTTTAACTTCAATCTCATCATTTTCACTGTCTGAAGAGTCAGACTCTTCTTCACTGCTGACTGTCACTGACTTTTTAACTTTTGAGTTACCAGAGACTTTCTTCTTGACATCTTTCACAGATTTAGCTTGCTTAGGTGGATTGAGTACCTAGATAGCATTAAGTCAATACAATTGGCCACAGATAATATTTCAGAAATCAGGAGTACAAAATCTTGTGCCTACCTGATCTATTTGTTGACCTATGAACTTTTTGAAAGGGTCAAGTGCGTTTTTCTCTAGTCCAAGATCCTGCTCTAGAAGTCGGCGAACTCCGGCCAAAGTTATGTTCCTGAAATAAAGAGCAACTAAAATAAGTTGCTAGTTATAATGTGAAACATGCTGAGGGTCATATCCTAGTGATAAGTTGGCAAGATGGATAAGCTTTGAATATTGCGGACACAGTTTTAGCATTGCGTTTTCTGAGGCAAGTAATAATTTCGACTATCAAGAAACAGAAGAAAATCAATACATCGAATCAAATTGCATACCCAGAATTAGATTCAAAGTAATCAGCCCTTTCCCAAATTGCCTTCTTCATACTGTCCTCACTTATAGATGACCCCTTAGTAGCAACTTCAGATTTTGGGCTTAAGACACCCATTATAGGGGAACCTTCATTTGTTTCCTCATCTCCATTGCTAGAAGTTTTTGGATTTATCTCATGCTGTTTGGGTAACACTGTTGCTTTACTGATATCGTTGTCGGCATCTTCAGTAGGTGTTTCAGATTTGCATTCATCGCCATCACTTATTTTCTGCAATTGGAAAAGAAGTCACTTGATATTAAATAACTTTTGACAGCTGTTAAATCTAACAATTAACGAGATTACATTATTCACCTAAATAGGTCACTATTAAGACTAACACCAACAAAAACCTCTAAGCCTTAAGGTGACAACATTATCTTGTTTATGATGTGTCTCATAAGGTAACCCAAATATGATTCTGCAGCTAACTAACCTATGATTGCATAAAACAGAAGGCCATAGTCATCCATGGTGCACATATAATTTCATTTCATAAGATAAAACAAGATGGACTAACTATACTTTGATAAATGTTGTCTTCGGCCTGTATCTCATATGTTAATCATATAATAGAAGGGTTGAAGGAGTTGAAATAAGTTCGAGGGACGGAGAGTATGTAATTATTGTTCGATAAGCAGAATCTGACAAATATTGATTATAATCTCAGGTGCTAAAATGTGCACACATAGAATGGATCATTTTCTTGAAAATACATATCATTGAAGAGTCAAAACAAGGAAAATTCTAAATAAAGATAAGCAACCTTCTGTTGTATCTCTCTGCACAATTTTCGTTCCAGGATGGTTCGTACGCATTTCAACAAACAAAAAGTTGTACAAGATATGACAGATCAATATGATTTTAGCTACCTTTAGCATTCAATAAAAATTACGTCCCATTTTAATTTAATTAATTTCTTCTTATTGGGTGGGAGATAAAAACTAAG